AAAAGACTCCACACAGGAGAGAAACCATACCAGTGCAAGGAGTGTGGGAAATGTTTTGCTACCAGTGCATACTTGGTGAGGCACAAAAGAATCCACACAGGAGAAAAGCCATACAAATGCCAGGAGTGTAGGAAGTGTTTTAGTGACTGTTCAACCTTTGTGAGGCACAAAAGTCTCCACGTAGGAGAGAAGCCATGTAAATGCCAGGAGTGTGGGAAGTGTTTTGCTAACAGGTCCAACTTGATGAGCCACAAAAAACTCCACACAGGAGAGAAACCATACCAGTGCAAGGAGTGTGGAAAATGTTTTGCTCACAGTTCACACTTGGTGAGCCACAAAAGAGTCCACACAGGAGAGAAGCCATACAAATGCCAGGAGTGTGGGAAATGTTTTGCTCACAGTTCACACTTGGTGAGGCACAAAAGACTCCACATAGCAGAGAAGCCATACCAATGCCAGGAGTGTGGGATGTGTTTTGCTAAAAGTGCAAACTTGGTGGGTCACAAAAGACTCCACACAGGAGAGAAGCTCTATAAATGCCAGGAGTGTGGGAAATGTTTTGGTTGCAGTTCACACTTGGGGAGGCACAAAAGACTCCACACAGGAGAGAAGCCATACCAATGCCAGGAGTGTGGGAAATGTTTTGCTTACAGTTCAGACTTGGCGAGGCATAAAAGAGTCCACACAGGAGAGAAGCCATACCAATGCCAGGAGTGTGGGAAATGTTTTGGTCACAGTTCACACTTGGTGAGGCACAATAGACTTCACACAGGAGAGAAGCCATACCAATGCCAGGAGTGTGGGAAATGTTTTACTCAGAATTCACAATTGATGAGGCATAAAAAACTTCACACAGGAAAGAAAAGGTAAAAGTGCCAGGAGTGTACAAAATGTTTTACTCAGAATACACCCCTTATCGACCACTGAAGATCCCAAACAGGAGGGAAGCCATATCTATTTTCAAGAGAGTGGGAAAAGTTTTGCTGACAGTTCACAATTTGCTCCATACAGGAGAGAATCCATACTAATGCCCGGAGGAAGTGTTTTTAGTCAAACTTTATCCGTTAACAAGCAACAGTGAATACAAACAGGCTACAAACAGCCTTTGTGTGTAAACATCTGATTTCAAACAGGACTGTTTGAGAAGTTCTGCTTAAGACTTGGTAAAGTCCCCTTTCTTGTCATTTGAATCTTTAAGTTTGAGGTCTTGTTCTGGAGCAGCAGAAACAAGCTCCCTTTGACAATCCTTCAGAGCATTAAATATGATTGTCATGTCACCTATTCTGGGGCAGTTTACATGGGGCCAAGCCCAACAGAACAGTTAAAACATAATATATTAAAATGCATATCAACAAAATGATAACAAAAAACAATATAAGAAAATCAAAACAACATTAAACAGTATATAAAACAAACATCAAAAGCCAAAAAGCAGTAGTAAAGGAAGAGATGTTTCCACTATTATTTCCCTTGATGTGTACAAATTGTATCTCTCGCTAGAATTTACTGGCTGTTAACTTGCTCCTGGCACTCTGCTAATCCACAGTAGACAGAAAAAACATGAGCCTTTGTATTATTTTGGAATGTAAAGTGTTATATGAGTAGTTGAATCTATGATAACCTATTGTGAGTATTTGAATCAAATTATCTGTGAGAAATTTGATGTGTTTTGCAAAATTCAAGCCCTTGGGTTTTGTATTGTAGGGAAACAGATGTTTCTGGGTAGAGTAACAATCCTAATGTTTGTGTAAGAAATACAAGTTTTCCAACTCTGGGGCATAGAGACATTTTATTCAGAAACGGAATAAAAGGAAATGTGTGGCAGAGGAAAACATTAAAAACATGACCAGAACATGAAATCCAGAAAAGAGTGTACTTCATTGGAACAAGAGGGTCCCTTATATTCTCTCATGTGATCTTCTGATGGCTGATGCAATAACATCATCGTCTAATCGCCAACCACTGCAAACAGGGGAGTGAGACTGAGGCCCCGTCTACAAGGCCACACTTTCTGCTTTGAACTGAGTTATTTGAGTCTGCTCTGCCATATTATTAAGTTCAAAGCAGATAATCTGGATTTTATACAGCAATGTAGAAGGCCTCTGAGGCAATATACCAGTGTTTCTCAACCTGGGGGTCGGGACCCCTGTGGGGGTCATGAGGGGGTTTTGAGAGAGGTCGCCAAAGACCACCAGAAAACACATTCTATCTGATGGTCTTAGGATGTCCTTTGGCGAAGAAGACTGAAGATCTCTCTCCCTGTCCTTCTCTTCCTTTTTGGAAACTGACAGCGAATCCTGCCACCAAATCTCCTTTGCTGTGATTGGCCAGCTTCTAAGCCAAGTGGAGGGCTGTTTCTGAGACTCCAAGCCGGGGAGGGGAGAGCAGGCATGTTCGGTGTGCATGTGCGGGCGAGGGAGAGCGTGCGAGACTGGTGGGAGGCTTGCGCCAGTGAGTCCCTTCAAAGCACGGGAGTACTGTGTGGGAAGTCTGGTCCAATTCTATCGTTGGTGGGGTTCATGATGGTCTTTGATTGTAGGTGAACTATAAATCCCAGCAAGTATAGCTCCCAAGTGTCAAGGTCTATTTCCCCAAACTCCACCAGTATTCACATTTGGGCATATTGAATATTCGTGCCAAGTTTGGTCCAGATCCATCATTGTCTGAGTTCACAGTGCTCTTTTTTTTTTACACAATTTTTTTATTATAAATTTTATTAATACAACAGTACAAAAACAAGAAGACAGGAAGAAAATACAGTGACATACAGACACACATCACTAATCTATCTACAGACTGACCTACAACACATAGAACGTATAAAGTCTACATTAAAAATGACCAACCTCGGCCTCAGACCTCCCCCCTCTCTCTACCATGGTAATTCTGAGAGTATTTTGGCTAGTTCTCTATTTTCACAGTGCCCTTGACTGTAGATGAACTATAAATCCCAGCAACTATAACTCCCAAATGACAAAATCAATCCTTTTCCAACCCCCCTGGTATTCGGATTTGGGCATATCGGGTATTTGTGCCAAATTTGGTCCAGTGAATGAAAATACCTCCTGCATATCAGATATTGACATTACGATTCATAAAGGTAAAGGTAAAGGTTTTCCCCTGACATGAAGTCCAGTCGTGTCCGGCTCTGGGGTGTGGTACTCATCTCCATTTCTAAGCTGAAGAGTCGGCGTCCGTAGACACCTCCAAGGTCATGTGGCCACTGGCATAACTGCATGGAGCGCCATTACCTTCCTGCCAGAGTGGTACCTATTGATCTACTCCCATTTGCATGATTTGAACTGCTAGGTTGGCAGAAACTGGGGATAACAGCGGGAGCTCACCCCGCTCCCCGGATTCAAACCTGCGACCTTTCGGTCAACAAGCTCAGCAGCTCAGTGGTTTAACCCACTGTGCCACGACTCATAACAGTAGCAAAATGAGAGTTATGAAGTTGCAATAAAAATAATGTTATGGTTGGGGTTCACCACAACATGGGGAACTGTATTGAAGGCTTGCGGCATTAGGAATTATTATTATTATTATTAAATTTATTTGTACCCCGCTAGCATCTCCCGAAGGACTCGATGCGGCTTACACAGGCCAAGGCCTCAATAAAACAACAGCATAACAAACTTAAAGCGAATCAAACAATAAAACAATAGCAGTAAACAATAAAAACAATACACCATAACACAATAAAACTAGGTCCGGGCCGAATGTAATGGGTACAGATTAAAAAGTGCTGGGTGTGACAGATGGATGTAGGATTTTAGGGTAAGTGACTGTGGCCAGGAAATCAGGAGACGCTTACTTCTTGGGAGGAGAGCAATGTCCAATCTCAAAAAAATAGTAAAGAGTAGAGACATCACACTAGCAACAAAGATCCGCCTAGTCAAAGCCATGGTATTCCCCATAGTCACCTACGGATGTGAGAGCTGGACCTTAGGGAAGGCTGAGCGAAGGAAGATAGATGCTTTTGAACTGTGGTGTTGGAGAAAAGTGCTGAGAGTGCCTTGGACTGCGAGAAGATCCAACCAGTCCATCCTCAGGAAATAAAGCCCGACTGCTCATTGGAGGGAAGGATAGTAGAGGCAAATGAAGTACTTTGGCCACATCATGAGAGACAGGAAAGCTTAGAGAAGACAATTATGCTGGGAGGGAAATGGAAGGAAAAAGGAAGAAGAGCCGACCAAGGACAAGATGGATGGATGGTATCCTTGAAATGAATGGCTAGACTCTGAAGGAGCTGGGGTTGGGGATGGCCGGTAGGGAGCTCTGGCGTGGACTGGTCCATGAGGTTACGATGAGGCAGAAACGGCAGTATGCAGGTAATCTTAAAACTCTGATAAAGTGCTTCTGGGACATATTGCTGGAGTTTCCTATTCTGGAAAGGCACACTGGAACAGCCAGGTCTTCAAACTCTTCCTAAAGATTGCCAGTGTAGGGGTTTGTTTGATGTCCTTGAGGAGGGTGTTTCAAAGTCGGGGGGGGCACCACAGAAAAGGCCCTGTCCCTCGTCCCCACCAGACGCGCTTGCGACGCAGGTGGGATCGCGAGCAGGGCGAAGAGAACGCATGGGTTCATAAACGGAAGGGTGAGAAACATCGCTATAGACCATTGAAGTGGCTTCCTCACATAAATAGCTGGAGAAAACTTCTCTTCACGTTGATGAGAATGAGTTGGGTGATGATAATAGGGAAGCTTCCCATTGAAAGATGAAGTTTAGTGCTGATCTGATCAAAACATTGAACAGGATGTATCTTCCCAAAATAGTTGAATGCTTGTGAGACAGCCCTGCATCTGAATGGGTCAAGGAAGGGTTAAGGGGAGGGAGGTTGGATTCCTAGAGAGGAAGGAAGGAAGGATGGCAAGGAGGAGGAGGAGCCCAGTCCTCCAGAGCAGGTCATCCTTCCTTGGCCTCCTCTTCTCCTGGGAGTCTAATTCTGCTTTTCTTTCACAGAGGAAAAGTGATTGTTGTCTGAGATCGTGAGACAGAATCCCTTAAATAACAAAGAAAATTGCTAGGCTTGCTTTTGCAGGCAGGGAATGTTTTCAAGCTGAAGGGGGTTGAATCCGTGGATACAGAGGGGTGAGTGCAGGTACCTACCTGTCCTTGCAGGTAAAGTGAATGGGCTGTGGTTGGAAAACCAAATAGCATATTGCAATGGTTGGAAAGATCTTGGAGGGCGTGGAGATTTCCTTGAATCAAGCGTCACGTTACTTTTCGTTACAAGAAAGGTTTATGAAAACGTGGTTGTTCCAGTGTGCCTTCCCAGAATAAGGAAAACTCTTAGCAATATGACCTCAAATGCACTTTAATATTGATTTAGGATTGTCTGCGCGCCCTCATCTTTCTCTGAAAACCCTATCCTAGTTTATCTTACCTTGTTCATGTCCAGCATTTTAAATTTTAATTATTACATTTGGCCCGGCCATAGGTTTTTTAAATGCTGTATGTTTTATTGTTATTGTTTATTGCTTATTATCGTGTATTTTTTTGTTTTTGAGATTTATTTATTTATTTTACCTGTTTGCATTGATTATTTGTTATTCCCTTAGTTTTTTTTTTGTTTTTTTTTTTGTCGTGTCAGGAGCGACTTGAGAAACTGCAAGTCGCTTCTGTTGTGAGAGAATTGGCCGTCTGCAAGGACGTTGCCCAGGGGACGCCCGGATGATTTTTGATGTTTTTATCATCCTTGTGGGAGGCTTCTCTCATGTCCCCGCATGAGGAGCTGGAGCTGATAGAGGGAGCTCATCCGCCTCTCCCCGGATTCGAACCTGCGACCTGTCGGTCTTCAGTCCTGCCGGCACAGGGTTTAACCCACTGCGCCACCGGGGGCTCCTATTATTAATACTAATAATATTACAATATAATTGTATAGTACAATATAGTGATGTATAGCGCTGAGCCAAAGAGCCGACGTTATCCGTAGACACCTACAAAATTGTTCGTAGACATCTCCAAGATCATGTGGCCAGCATGACTGCATGGAGCCTGTTACCTTCCCGCCGGAGCGGTACCTATTGATCTACTCACATTTGCATGTTTTCGAACTGCTAGGTTGGCAGAAGCTAGGGCTGACAGCGGAAGCTCACGCCGCTCCCCGGAATCGAATCTGCGACCTTTTGATCAACAAGCTCAGCAGCTCAGTGCTTTAACCCACTGCGCCACCGGGGGCTCCCTGCGGGAGATGGTAGTGGGGTACAAATAAATGTGGCCTTACTATAGGTCACAGCAACGCGTGGCAGGGCACAGCTAGTAATAATAATAAAAATAAAACTTTATTTGTACCCCGCGGGAGATGGTAGTGGGGTACAAATAAAGTTTTATTTTATATATTATTAGCTGTGCCCTGCCATGCGTTGCTGTGGCCTATAGTAAGAAGTAGAGTTAGATATCTGGACTATTATGAAAGAGAGGTACCTACCTATTCCTTCCCCTTTTTCTTCCCCTTCCCCTTTCTCTCCTTTCTTCCTTCTCTACCTCTTTCTTTCATTCCTTCTTTCGCTCTTTGGTTTCATCCTTCCTTCTCTCTTTCCTTCCTTCCCTCCCTCCCCCTTTCTCTACTTCTTCCTTTGTCTCCTTTCTTCCCTCCCTGTTTCTCCTTCCTTCTTTCACTTTTTTTTCCTTTTCTCCTTCCTTCTTTCTTTTCTTCTTTCCGCTTTCTCTCCTTTCCTTTTCTACTTCTCTTCTTCCTTCCTTCGGTACCTCTTGCTTTCCTTCCTTCTCTCCTTCCCTTTTTCCTTCCCTCCTTCCTTCTTTCCCTCCCTCCTCCTCTCTTTCCTTCCTTCCCACTTTCCCTCCTTCATTCCTTCCCTTTTTTTTCAGTGATGGTCACTCCTTGGATTGTGAGGAGTTTTATTGCCAAATTTGGGGTCATTTGGCCCCGTAGTTTTTTTGTTTTTAAGCCACTCATTATGCACAGAGCATTTTTTAGATAGATAGATAGATTATTATTTATGGATCATGTGGCATCAGTGGCAGAAATCATGGGGGAATGGTGTGGGTTGGGACTGAATGGGAGCTCAATGGGAGGCCAGGTGGGTCTAGACCAGTGGTTCTTCAACCTGTGGGTCCCCAGCTGTTTTGGCTCACAACTCCCAGAAATCTCAACCACTTTACCAGCTTAGGATTTCTGGGAGTTGAAGGCCAAAACATCTGGGGGTGATAGTATGATAGCTGGGACCCAGTGCTGCAAGTGTTACACTCATAGCGCAACGGCGGTTGCAAATGAGGGAAGGGAAAACGTGACTGCCCACATGGTCAAGAGAGGGAGTGGAGTAACTGAGAGACGGGGGCGGGGGGGTAAGGTCCATATTACAAGGCAGCAAAGAAAGGAGGGGGAGAAATAGGAGAGTAGTGGTGTAATGAATCTAATCCAGTTTATCGAGCCGTTTTGGACAACGGAGCTGCCCCAGAGTTTTTGGCAAATACGTTGGACTTGTGCCCAATGCCCTCCAGTTTGTGGGCAGCCTGCATGTGGAGTGGAGTGGGAACAACATAGAACCGTTTATTACTATTTAGGGTCAGATTGGTAATTTCTATCCCTTTTAAGGTCTTTCCAAACCATTTCCCAAACTGCTGTTTATCATTATTCATTAAAGAACTGTTACAATCCACTGTTATCTGGGGCCCCCCTGCATGAAATTAGTTCAGTGGTTTCATCTTGCGCCTGCGTTCTTCAATCTGCGTACTCAAAGCACCGTTCTGGAAACAGCAAAACGCTAGCGGCACTGGGTCCCAGCTATCATATTATCACCCATCTGGGGACCCACAGATTGAGAATATCTAGTCTGGAGGCTGGAGGAGCAGAGGCCCAAGTGAAAGGAGGGCCCAGCATTACCTGTCTGAAATCAATAAAAGGCTTATTTTTTAATCTCCAATAAAAAGGGTCCCAAAGCCTGTTGTCTAAATCTGCCCTCCTTTCACAGGGGCAATGTGAGTGTTGGCTGAGAATTTTGGAGTCAAGCCTGTTCAGGGATTTCTTTCCCTAGAAAGACGAGAGAGGAAAAGCATCTTGGATCCAGTTTGGTTCTTCAATAAACGGTGGGTTCAACATGGGGAGACCCAGCTCACCTGGACCTGAAGCACGACTTGGAAGCAATGTGGCATTCTGGGAAAAAACAACACATAAGTTCCTGAGTGTGGACCTTTATAGTTCACACACAGCGCCAGCGCTTCAGGCATTCCTCCTTCCGAGAGGGCGAGGGACCCAGAGAGGTTTGCAGCCGCCTCCACTCTCTCTGCCGCCAGTGGCTGAAGCCAGAGCAACACACCAAGGCGGAGATGCTGGACCTGGTGATCCTGGAGCAGTTCCTGAGCATCCTGCCCCCAGAGATGGGGAGCTGGGTCCGAGAGTGTGGGGCAGAGACCTCTTCCCAGGCGGTGGCCCTGGCGGAAGGCTTCCTCCTGAGTCGGGCAGAGGACAAGAAGCAGGAAGGACAGGTGAGAGCATTGCCTCTTGGGTTCACTCACCTTGGGACTGATGGATAGATTAAACATGCATATTGCCTTCCTTCCAAGATGGGACCGATGTGAGAGATAAGTCAGACCCTGCTCCCTCTGCCTCTTTTCTCTCCTGCTCTCACCTCCATATCCGCTGTAAGCTCAGTTGCTGCTCTACTCAATTTGTTGATCTCCAGAAATGAAAATGATGGAAGGGGAAGTGTGGCATTTGTTAAAAACTAGGTTGCCATCTCAGGGTTATTCTATAGGTCTGTGATATCTTTGACTTTTCTCCATATGACTTCTACAATACTCTCTGCTCTTCCATGTGAGAGTTGGTAAATGTAAATAAACATAAGCAGAAGCTTTACCACAGTATTTAAACCAAGACATACCCTGCAGCATAATGAAATATCACTCAGTCTTATGTAACAAATCACAGTATCTCTACTTCAGTTCAGAAATTCAAACAGTACAACAATTTATACAACAGTTACTCTGAGTTAAGGCTGAGAACAGAGGAATGAAATAATCCTTTTAAAATAGTCTTTAAAATATGCCTCACACCATAAACTGATCAGTGTCAAGACAGTTGGCAGCCAGCAATCTCTTCGCTGTCCAAAGAGAGAATGGCAGTTAGAACTCTTGGTCTCAGCAGCAAGCCAATCAGATCTCTGGCTCCTGGCACACTCAGCCAATCAGCTGCTGACTCATGCCTCTCCAGTTAACCCACCATATCATGGCGTTCTTTTTCCAATCCTCCCATTCCAGGCCCAAAATGGCTGCATGGAAGCCCACCCTGATGTCCCTGAATCAGAGGAACCCCCACCAGGCCCCACCCAGAGCCTCCAGCAGAAGGAGCTCAAGCAGGAAGGAGACGGAGCTGCGGCCTTGGAGGGTAAGGAGGAACCCTTTGGGGTGTTTTCCTCTTTTATGCTGGTGTGAATTCCCTTTTAGAGCGATTGTGGCACATCCCCAATCAATTTGAGGTCCACATCCAGGACCATTTGGCCTTGAGATGAATATATGATGATGATGATGATCTTTATCAGAACTGTTGGGATTATGGCACATCCCCAATCAGTTGGAGATTGAGTTTGTGCACATCCAGGATCATTTGGCCTTGAGATACATATATATGTAGGCATTCAGTTTCAAAAGGTGTAATTTCAGTGTGATTTGCAGTTTTATTTCTTGCAATGCTTGTACATTAGCCTAAAGTTGGATCTGACTGAAAATTCAGTCTTTCAGTGTCTTCCCAGGTGGGACCCAAGAGCCAAGAGGATCGCTGAAACTGAGCTGGGAAACAAACAGACAACAAAGAATAATTTTAGACTATTGAAATACCAAGGCCAGTACTAGTTTCGATCCAAGCTACTTAAAGTACTGCTTGAGATAAAATGGCCTAAACTCCAAAACTTTACTTAATCCTGGGCTGGAGAATTCTCCTGTGTTGATAGGGTCATTTCCTCATAAGTTTCTTTTCATTACTGCAATTCTCTCCTCTGAGACATGTTTATGTGATCAGCTTTCCATCCCCTTGCTCTCTCTCTCTCTCTCTCTCAGGGACTGGAATGATGTTGTTGCCGAATCCTCAGTCGTTTCTTACCCTTTGTGACGGAGTGGAACTGAATCAGGTAAGCAGAAGGATTCCTGGGAGAGGAGGAATGGGGCTGCCTGGGGGTCATTTGTTCAAGGCTCAATCTTTATCAACAAATATGCAATGTTCGTTTGTGGGATTAACAGAACTCAAAAACCACTGGACGAATTGACACCAAATTTGGACACTATACACCTCTCAGGCCAACAAGTGACCATCACTCATAAAAACACTGAAAAACACAGCAAAAGAGAATTAAAAAGCTGAAAAAAATGATAATTCATTACAAAGCATGTGCAAAACCACATATATACATGCAAACACACATATATACACATATACATACAGACGTAAAGACACACAAAACACATATACACAGACTGGGCACAGCAATGCGTGTAGAATCACAGAATCATTGAGTAGGACCTTGTGGGTCATCCAGTCCAACCCCCTGCCAAGAAACAGGAAAATTATATTCAAAGCACCCCCGACAGATGGCCATCCAGCCTTTGCTTAAAAGCCTCCAAAGAAGGAGTCTCCACCACACTCCGGGGCAGAGAGTTCCACTGCTGAACAGCTCTCACAGTCAGGGAGTTCTTGGTGGTGTCCAGGTGGAATCTCCTTTCCTGGAGTTTGAAGCCATTGTGAAACAGAAAAGACTGAACTAACAGAAATGTAAATCTATTGTTGTTCTTCTAATTCTGTTTCTTGATTTCCCTGATGTGAGTAGGAAATGTTTTCTTTTTCCACCAGGGCCCAATCGCCTTTGAGGACGTGGATGTCCATTTCTCCCTGGAGGAGTGGGTTCTCCTGAATMTTKGTCAAAAAGTCTTGCACGTGCAGATCATGGAGGAGATTCWTGGGATKGTGGACTCTCTTGGTAAGGCTCYCTCATKGATGGGGATTTCTGTTTCAAAATGCAGCATCCCAGTCAGCAGCTCCCTGGTGGAAGTAATATCCAAAATCACCTGAATCACTGAGGGTCCTCAAGGCAGGGCTTATGGTAGAAATATACGACATATTGGTAATRTATACACCCCTTAGACTTTCTGAAACAGAGAACAATCTCCCTTTTTCTCCCAGCTGATTTGCTATTTCAAGGTGGCATGTTTTAGGGAGTATTCGAGTTCTCCTCCTGTCCTAAACCTCCATTTTGAACTTTCTTAGGGCCTCAGGTGGAACTGTGGCTTTTGTGTTTTACTTTCTTCATGTTTGATGTCTGTGTAGTGACTTGTTGTGCATTTTAATATTCATAGAATCATAGAATAATTGAATTGGAAGAAACCTCGTGGGCCATCCAGGATAGTTTGGAGGCACACTCCTGTCTCTCAAAACTGATGTCAAGAGCAGTGTTACGTGGATGTCACTATATCTGGCCATGTCCTACAGACATTCCTTTATTGTTCCCTTCACTGTTTCATCATAGCTCTCACCTTTTTCTTTAAGTTACTATTCTGGGAGATAAATAAAAAGGAGGGAACGATTGTGAAATGGGTGATAGGAAAGCAAAGTTTTAGCTAGAGAAAAAGGCAAGCCTTTGAATGAGAAGGAAAAAGTCACCCATTCCCCCAGAAGAAGGAGACAGAATAAAAAAAAAACAGGCTAGGCTGAGGAAAGCATAACCTTTGCAGCATATGTTATTCATCTCTCCCTTAGAGGCCCCAGGATGAAACAGGTTCCATCTCTACTGAAAAAGGGGTGGGGAGAGGACAGCATTTATATCTTCTTTTCTTCCATGTCTATGTTGTATAAAGGATCACTTCAATCTCCTTCTTACACAACTTCCTTATCATTCACACAAAGGAATGGCTGTCTCTTTCCTCCTTCTACACAGCAGATAACTGGAAGCATTTGGGACACAATGGAGACCTTCCCCGACACCAGCAAACCCACAGAGAAGATGGAGATTCTGCCAGAGAAAGGCCTTACAAATGCAATGTGTGTGGGAAGTGTTTTACCCAAAATATGGGACTTATATTTCACAAGACACTCAGTGCTGGGAAAAGCCATTGTAAATGGAAGGTATCAGCAAAATGTATTGCTGATTACAAACTGCCAGATCTGAGCCAAGAAGAAATAATTGAAGGAACTGAGGATTTCATAAACCAGGAATGTGGGAAATGTTTTACTGACAGTTCAGCCTTGGTGAGGCACAAAAGACTCCACACAGGAGAGAAACCATACCAATGCAAGGAATATGGGAAATGTTTTGCTTCCAATTCACAGTTGGTGAGCCACAAAAACCTCCACAGAGGCGAGAAGCCATACAAATGCCAGGAGTGCAAGAAATGTTTTACTCGGAAGTCATCACTTCTCAGACACTGGAGTATCCATACAGGAAAAAAACAATACCAGTGCCAGGAGTGTGGGAAACGTTTTGGTCGCAGTTCACACTTGGTGAGGCACAAAAGACTCCACACAGGAGAGAAGCCATACAAATGCCAGGAGTGTGGGAAATGTTTTGCTTGCAGTTCACACTTGGTGAGCCACAAAAGACTCCACACAGGAGAGAAGCCATACCAATGCCAGGAGTGTGGGAAATGTTTTGCTTCCAGTTCAGGATTGGTGAGGCACAAAAAACTCCACATAGGAGAGAAGCCATGCAAATGCCAGGAGTGTGGGAAATGTTTTGGTCACAGTTCACACTTGGTGAGGCACAAAAGAGTTCACACTGGAGAGAAGCCATACCAATGCCAGGAGTGTGGGAAATGTTTTGCTTCCAGTTCAGGATTGGTGAGGCACAAAAAACTCCACATAGGAGAGAAGCCATGCAAATGCCAGGAGTGTGGGAAATGTTTTGGTCACAGTTCACACTTGGTGAGGCACAAAAGAGTTCACACTGGAGAGAAGCCATACCAATGCCAGGAGTGTGGGAAATATTTTGCTTGCAGTTCACACTTGGTGAGCCACAATAGAGTCCACACAGGAGAGAAGCCATACCAATGCCAGGAGTGTGGGAAATATTTTGCTTGCAGTTCACACTTGGTGAGCCACAATAGAGTCCACACAGGAGAGAAGCCATACCAATGCCAGGAGTGTGGGAAATGTTTTGCTGCATGTTCGGGCTGGTGAGCCACAAAAGATTCCACACAGGAGAGAAGCCATACCAATGCCAGGAGTGTGGGAAATGTTTTGCTGACAGTTCAACCTTGGTGAAGCACAAAAGACTCCACACCGGAGAGAAGCCATACCAATGCCAGAACTGTGGGAAATGTTTTGCTTACAGTTCAAACTTGGTAAGCCACAAAAGACTCCACACAGGAGAGAAGCCATACCAATGCCAGGAGTGTGGGAAATGCTTTGCTTACAGTTCAAACTTGGTAAGCCACAAAAGACTCCACACAGGAGAGAAGCCATACCAATGCCAGGAGTGTAGGAAATGTTTTACTCAGAATACACCCCTTATAGACCACAGGAGGGAAGCCATCTCTATGTCAAGAGAGTGGGAAACGTTTTGCTGACAGTTCACAATTTGTGAGCCACAAAAGACTCCACACAGGAGAGAATCTATACTAATGCTAGGAGGCACTCCATCCGTTAACAAGCAACAGTGAATACAAACAGGCTAAAAAACAGCTTTTGGTTGTAAACATCTGATTTCAAACAGAACTGTTTGAGAAGTTCTGCTTAAGACTTGGTAACGTCCCCTTTCTTGTCATGTGCCTCTTGAAGTTTGAGGTCTTGTTCTGGAGCAGTAGAAACAAGATCCCTTTAACAATCCTTCAGAGAGTTCAATATGATTGTCATGTCATCTATTTTGAAAAAAAAAACCATGTCACGTATTCTGGGGAAAAAACCATATGTACTTCGATCAGCTCTGAGCTTAGTTTCCAGTTCCTTTACCTCCTTGGATGCAAATTTCCAGTTTGTGAATTTTGGAGCGGCTTACATGGGGTCAAGCCTAATGGAACAGTTAAAACATAATACATTAAAATGCATATCAACATAATGATAGCAAAAAACAATATAAACTGGCTGTTTTCTTGCTCCTGGCACATTGCTAATCCACAGTAAATTGACAAACATGAGCCTTTGTAAGATTTTAGAATGTACAGTGTTACGAGTATTTGAATCTATGATGACCTGTTATGAGTATTTGAATCAAATTATCTATGATAATTTGATACGTTTTGCAAAATTCAAGCCCTTGGGTTTTGCATTGTAGGGAAACAGATGTTTCTGTGCAGAGTAACAATCCTAATGTTTGTATAATAAATACAATTATTCTAACTTGTTAGGGACATAGAGACATTTACTCAAAAACAGAAATAAAGGAAACGCCTGGCTGATGCAATGTGATTTATCGTCTAATGGCAGACCACTACAAACCGGGAAGTGAGACTGAGGCCACTTCTACAATGCCATATTATCTGCTTTGAACTGAGTTAAACGAGTCTACACTGCCATATAATCAAGTTCAAGTTCTGGATTTTGTACGGCAATGTAGAAGGCTTCTGAGGTTATAGAGCAGAGCTTCTCAACCAGGGGGTCGGGACCCTTGTGGGGGTCATGAGGGGGTTTCAGAGGGGCTGCCAAAGACCACCAGAAAACACATTATTTCTGATGGTCTTGGGAACCCCTTTGGCGGAGAAGACTGGAGATCTCTCTGCCTTTCCTTATCTTCCTTTTTTGGAAACTGACAGCGTATCTTCCTACTAAAAGGTCTCCTCTGCTGTGATTGGTCAGCCTCTAAGCCAAGGGGAGGGCTGCTCCCAAGCAGGGGATGGGAGAGCAGGCGTGCTCAGTGCATGACAGTATGGTGCGCATGTGTGGGCGAGGAAGAGCATGCGAGACTGGAGGGAGGCTTGTGCCAGTGAGTCCCTTCAAGTCATGGGAGTTCTGTGTGGAAAATCCGGCCCAAGTTTGGTCCAGATCCATCATTGTTTGAGTCCACAGTGCTCTCTTCATGTAGGGGAACTACAATGCCAGAACTCAAGGTCAATGCCCACCAAACCCAGTATTTTCTGTTCGTCATGGGAGTTCTGTGTGGGAAATATGGCTGATTCTATCGTTGATGGGATTCGCAATGGTCTTTGATTGTAGGTGAACTATAAATCCCAGCAACTACAACTCCCAAATGTCAATGTCTATTTCCCCCAATTCCCACCAGTGTTCACATTTGGGCATATTGAGTATTTGTGCCAAGTTTGGTCCAGATCCATCCTTGTTTGTGTCCCCAGTGCTCTCTGCATGTAGGAGAACCTCAACTCCAAAATTCAAGGCCAATGCCCACCAAACCCTTCCAGTATTTTCTGTTGGTCTTGGGAGTTCTGTCTGCCAAGTTTGGTTCAATCCCATTGCTGGTGAAGTTCAGAATGTTCTTTGATTGTAGATGAACTATAAATCCCAGCAACTACAACTCCCAAATGACAAACTCAATCCCCCCCAACCACACCAGTATTCAAATTTCGGCATTTCAGATATTTGTGCCAAATTTGGTCCAGTGAATGAGAATACATCCTGCATATCAGATATCTACATGACGATTCATAATAGCAGCAAAATTACAGTTATGAAGTAGCAACGAAAACAATGTTATGGTTGGGGGTCACCACAACATGAGGAACTGTATTAAGGGGTCACAACATTAGGAAGGGTGAGAGACCATTGAAGTGGCTTCATCACATAAATAACCAGTGAAATGTCACTTTCCAGTCGCTGGAGAAAACTTCTCTTCACAATGATGAGAATTAGTTGGGTGATAATAGAGGAGCTTCCCATTGAAAGAAGACGTTCAGGCTGTACCAAGGCCTCTCTCAGTGCTGCTCTGATCAAAACACTGAACAGGATGTATCTTCCCTAAATAGTTGAATGTTTGGGAGGCAGTCCTGCAACTGAAGGGGTCAAGGAAGGGTTAAGGGGAGGGAGGTTGGGTTCCTAGAGAGGAAGGATGGCAAGGAGGAGGAGGAGGAGGAGGCGCCCAGTCTTCCAGAGCAAGCCATCCTTCCTTGGCTTCCTCCTCCTCCTCTGCTTGGGCAGCCTTCCTCTCCTCCTGTGTGTCTCATTCCCAGATGCCCTTCAATGGAAATGCCCTTCATTTCCTTCAAAGAGAAATGCCACACTTGTATTTGTGCCARATTTGGTCCAGTGAATGAAAATACTGTAATGACGATTCATAACAGTAACAAAATTACAGTTATGAAATAGCAATAAATTATAATRTTATGGTTGAGGGTCACCACTACATGAGGAACTGTATTAAGGGGTCRCGGCYTTAGGAAGGGTGAGAAGCACTGCTGTAGRCCATTGAAGTGGAGAAAACTTCTCTTCACATTGATGAGAATGAGTTGGGTGATAATAGAGGAGCTTCCCATTGAAAGATGAAGTTTAGTCTGTCCCAAGGCCTCCCAAGGCATGACTCTGATCAAAACATTGAACAGGATGTATCTTCCCTAAACAGATGAATGCTTGTGAGGCAGCCCTGCATCTGAAGGGGTCAAGGAAGGGTTAAGGGGAGGGAGGTTGGGTTCCTAGAGAGGAAGGAAGGAAGGATGGCAAGGAGGAGGAGGAGCCCAGTCCTCCAGAGCAGGCTATCCTTCCTTGGCTTCCTCCTCCTCTCCTTGGGCAGCCTTCCTCTCCTCCTGGGAGTCTCATTCCCAGATGCCCTTCAATGGGCTGAAGATCTGTACTTGCTATTCTCCTGTTGGTAGGAAATGTTAGTCCTCTTAGTAGTGAAACTGAATCCCTTAAATAACAAAGGGAGATGCTACACTTGTTTTTGCATGCAGGGAATGTTTTCAAGCTGAAGGGGGTTGAATCTGTGGATAGAGAGGGGTGAGTGCAGGTACCTACATGTCCTTGCAGGCAAAGTGAATGGGCTGTGGTCGAAAAACCAAATACCGTACTGTAATGGTTGGAAAGATCTTGGAGGGAGTGGAGATTCCATTGAATCAAGCGTCACGTTAGATTTTGTTACAGGAAAGTTTTATGGATCATGTGGCATCAGTGGGAGCTCAATGGGAGGCCAGGTGGGTCTAGACCAGTGGTTCCCAACATGTGGGTCCATAGCTGTTTTGGCCCACAGTTCCCAGAAATCTCAACCAGTTTACCAGCTTAGGCTTTCTGGGGATTGAAGGTCAAAACATCTGGGGACCCACCGGTTGAGAATCACTGGTCTGGAGGCTGGAAAAGCAGAGTGCCAGGTGAAAGGGGAGCCCAGCATTGCCTGACTTTGAAATAAATAAAGAGCTTTTTTTTTTACTCTCCAAGAAAAAGCCTCCCAAAGTCAGTTGTCTAAATCTGCGTTTCTTTCACTGAGGAAATGTGATTGTTGGCTGAGGATTTTGGAGTAGAGCCTGCTGAGGTATTTCTTTCTCTAGAAAGAAGAGCCAGGAAGAGCATCTTGGACCCAATTTCCTTCTTTGCCAAACAGTGGTTCCAACATGGAGAGAACCAACTCACCCGGACCTGAAACAGGACTTGGGAGCATTGGGGCATCCTGGGGAAAAAGTACACATAAGTCCCAGAGTGTGGACCTTTATAGGTCAGACACACAGCGCCAGCGCTTCAGGCATTCCTCCTTCCGAGAGGGCGAGGCGCCCAGAGAGGTTTGCAGCCGCCTCCACTCTCTCTGCCGCCAGTGGCTGAAGCCAGAGCAACACACCAAGGCGGAGATGCTGGACCTGGTGATCCTGGAGCAGTTCCTGAGCATCCTGCCCCCAGAGATGGGGAGCTGGGTCCGAGAGTGTGGGGCAGAGACCTCTTCCCAGGCGGTGGCCCTGGCGGAAGGCTTCCTCCTGAGTCGGGCAGAGGACGAGAAGCAGGACGGACAGGTGAGAGCATTGCCTCTTGGCTTCATTAAACTTGGGACTGATTGATAGATTAAATGTACATCCTGCCTTCCTTCCAAGATGGGACCTGTGACAGAGCTAAGTCAGACTCTGCTCCCTCGGCCTCTTTCCCCTCCTGCTCTGCCCCTCCTACTCTCACCTCCATATCCACTGTAAGCTCGGTTGCTGCTCCACTCAATTTGTTGACCCCAGATATCACWTTGAAAATGACGGGAGGGGGAGTATGGCATAAAATCGGGGGTATAGAGCAGGCTATACATAAAGCATTATTATTATTATTATTATTATTATTATTATTATTATTATTATTATTTCAAACTAGGTTGCCGTCTCAGAGTCATTCTTTTTAAAAAGTCCATGCAGTTTCTGCACATAGGTCTGTGATATCTTTGAACTTTCTCCATTCCTCTTATGAAATTCTCTGTACTCTTCCAGGCCCGAAATGACTGCATTGAAACCCACCCTGATGTCTCTGAATCTGAGAAACCTCCACCAGACACCAACCAGAGCCTCCAGCAGAAGGGGCTCAAGGCGGAAGGAGATGGGGCTGAAGCCTTGGAGGGTAAGAATGAACCCTTTGGGGTGTTTTGCTGTTTTATGTAAATTTCCCCTTGGAATTGTGGCACATCCCTAATCAGTTTGAGATTGAAATTGTGCACATCCAGGGTCATTTGAGGTGGGTATATATGTAGGCATTTGGTTTCAAAAGATGTAATTTCAGTGTTATTTGCAGTTTTATTTTTTGCAATACTTGTACATTAGCCCCTTCTACAATGGATCTGACTTTGAGTACCTGTCTTTGAGTGTATTCCAGGTGGGATCACCTCAGTATCAAGGTGCCAAGATGAGCCTTAATACTGAGCTGGAAGACAAACAAATAACAAAGAATAACTTTAATCCCTTGAAATACCAAGCCCAGTAGTAGTGTCAATCCAAGCTACTAATTTTATTTATTTATTTAGAATATGTATACCCTGTCTTTCTTAACCTCTGAGGAAGGACTCAGGATGGCTTCCAACACAATATAAAACACATAATAAAATACAGCCACATACATTAAAATAGTTATAAAAAACAGTTTGCCAGGTTAAAATCTTTAACTTAAATCACTGTTGGAGATAAAATGGCTTAAACTCCAAAATGTTATATATTCCTGGGCTGGAGAATGCTCCTGTGTTCATAGGGTCATTTCCTCATAGGTTTCTTTTTAGGACTGTAATTGTCACCTCTGAGACATGTTTATGTGTTCAGCTTCCCACACCTTGCTCTTTCTCCCAGGGGCTGGAATGATATTGTTGCCGAATCCTCAGTCGTTTCTTCCCTTTTGTGATGGAATGGAACTGAATCAGGTAAGCAGAAGGATTCCTGGGAGAGGAGGAATGGGGCTGCCTGGGGGTCATTTCTTCCAGGCTTAATCATCAGATATCTGTTAAAAGACTAAACCAACAGAAACGTAAATCATGTCAAAGAGATTCTTGTAATTCTTTTTCTTGATTTCCCTTATGTGAGAAGGAAATGTTTTCTTTTTCCGCCAGGGCCCAATCGCCTTTGAGGACGTGGCTGTCCATTTCTCCCCAGAGGAGTGGGCTCTCCTGGATCCTGGTCAGAAAGCCTTGCACTTGCAGATCATGGAGGAGATTCATGGGATGGTGGACTCTCTTGGTAAGGCTCACACACTGATGGGGATTTCTGTTTCAAAATGCATTATCCCAATCAGCAGCTCCATAATGGGAACAATATGCTAAATTATCACAATTACTGAGGGTTATGAAGGCAGGGTTTATGTTAGAAATATATGACATATTAGTAATATATGGGTCCTTAGTCTTTTTGATACAGAGAAAAAATATATCATCTTTTTCTGTCTGCTGATTTGCTATTTAAGGTAGCATGTTTTAGAAACTAGGTGTTGTAACCAGAGCAATTTAATGAACAAAGGGACAGTCCACAGAATGGTATTTCCAAGAAGTCTCTGTTATTGTGGCATCTGGATTTATCAGTAACTATTATCTCTGGTGCACAGTCTTGTCATTCCTCACAAACTGGGATGGTTTGCAGGCAACATCCACTCTCTCAAAACCAATGTCAAATGTGGTGTTACGTGGGTGTCACTATATCTGGCTGAGTCCTGCAGACATTCCTTTTTTTATTCCCTTCTCTGCCTTCCATCATTGTTCTCTCTTTCTTTGCAGTCACTATCTTGTATCTTTTCAGTCATGCAAAACCATAACAATCTCTGGGGAGAGAAATATAAAGGAGGGAGTGATTGTGAAATGGGTGAGAGCAAGGTCAAGTTTTACCCAGAAAAAAAGGCAAGCATTTGAATGTGAAGGTAAAAGTCATCCCTTCCCCCAGGAAAGAGGAGATGGAATAAAAAGCCAGGCTGGGCTGAGGAACAGGTAGCCTCTAGAGCATATGTTACTCACCCCTCCCTTAGAGGCTCCAGGCAGTCAAACAGTGTCCATCTCTAGTGAACAAGGGGTAGGGAGAGGACCACAGTTATATCTTCTTTGTCTTCATGTATATGCTGGTTCAAGGATCATTTCAATCTCCTTATACCATTTCCCTACAATCCTTATCACTCATACTGAGAAATTGTTGTTTCTGTTCTTCTTCTTCACAGCGGATAACTGGGAAAAGAGCAATGTATGCACCAAACACAGGAAGCATTTGGGACTCAATGGGGGCCTTCCTAGACATCAGCAAACCTACAGAGAAGATGGAGGTTCTGCCAGAGAAAGACCCTATAAATGCAATGTATGTGGGCAGTGTTTTACCCAAAATATGGCACTTATACTTCACAAGACTCTCAATGATGGGAAAGGCCATTGTAAATTGAAAGTTTCAACAAAATGTGTTGCTTCTTACAAACTGCCAGGTCTTAGCCAACAAGAAATCTTTGAAGAAACTGAAGATATCATAAGCCAGGAGTGTAGGAAATCTTTTCTCCATTCGCACTTGATTAAACCTATGAGATTCCACACAGGAAAGAAACCGTACAAATGCCAGGAGTGTGGGAAATGTTTTGCTGACAGTTCACAATTGATGAGGCACATAAGACTCCACACAGGAAAGAAACCGTACAAATGCCAAGAATGTGGGAAATGTTTTGCTTTCAGTTCAGACTTGGTGAAGCACAAAAGACTCCACACAGGAGAGAAGCCATACAAATGCCAGGAGTGTAAGAAATGTTTTCCTTGGCAGTCATCACTTCTGAGACACCAGAGCATCCATTCAGGAAAGAAACCGTACCAATGCCAGGAGTGTGGGAAAGGTTTTGCTGACAGTTCAGCTTTGGTGAGGCACAAAAGACTTCACACTGGAGAGAAACCATACCAGTGCCAGGAGTGTGGGAAATGTTTTGCCTACAGTTCAGCCTTGGTGAGGCACAAAAGACTCCACACAGGAGAAAAGCCATACCAATGCCAGGAGTGTGGGAAGTATTTTGCTGAGAGTTCAGCCTTGGTGAGGCACAAAAGACTCCACATAGGGGAGAAGCCATATCAATGCCAGGAGTGTGGAAAATGTTTTGCTGACAGTTCATACTTGGGAAGGCACAAAAGACTCCACACAGGAGAGAAACCATACCAGTGCCAGGAGTGCGGGAAAGTTTTTGTTTGCAGTTCACAATTGGTGTGGCACAAAAGACTCCACTCAGGAGAGAAGCCATATCAATGCCCGGAGTGTGGGAAACGTTTTGCTTACAGTTCATATTTGATGTGGCACAAAAGACTCCACACAGGAGAGAAGCCATACCAATGCCAGGAATGTGAGAAATGCTTTGCTTACAGTTCAGACTTGGTGAAGCACAAAAGACTTCACACAGGAGAAAAGCCATACCAATGCCAGGAGTGTGGGAAATGTTTGGCTTCTAGTTCAGACTTGGTGAAGCACAAAAGACTCCACACAGGGGAGAAGCCGTACAAATGCCAGGAGTGTAAAAAATGTTTTCCTTGGAAGTCATCGCTTCTGAGACACCAAAGCATCCATACCAGAAAGAAAGAGTTCAAATGCCAGGATTGTGGAAAATGTTTTACTCAGAATTCATCCCTTGTAAGTCACCAGAGAATTCATACAGGAGAAAAACCGTATAGATGCCCAGATTGTGGGAAATGTTTTTCCTGCACTTCACACTTGGTGAGGCACAAAAGAGTCCACACAGGAGAGAAGCCATACCAATGCCAGGAGTGTGGACAATGTTTTACTCAGAATTCATCGCTTGCAAGCCACCAGAGAACTCATACAGGAGAAAAACCATACAGATGCCCAGATTGTGGGAAATGTTTTGGTTACAGCTCAGCCTTTGTAAAGCACAAAAGACTGCACACAGGAGAAAAGCCACACAGATGCATGGATTGTGGGAAATGTTTTACTCATACTTCATCCCTTAGGAAGCACCAAAGAATTCACACAGGTTAAAAAACATACGAGCACCAGACATGTAGGAAATGTTTTCTTCGGGGTTCATACTTTTTGAACCATCAGAGACTACATACAGGGGAGAAATCATCCAAAGAGCTGGGACAAAATTAATAAAATGTGTTGTAACAGGGAAATGATGGGCTCTGGACATTCTGGTGCTGTAGACTAAACATTCCCCAATGAAACTGTGTAATTCCCTTGGTTTCAAGTAGCACTTTACTGGACTTTGGACTGATCTCTTAGACAACCTTCTTCCTGGTTTTGAACTCTTGTTCTTTGTTTTGCTTTGTTTGACTTGGGTCTGTTTTGGAGAACTCTTTTGCTTCTCTGGACATTGGTATCACCATGGGACTGGCCTGTCTTTCCCCTGGTCAGCCTTTGTAAGTAAACATCTGATTTCAAACAGATGCTTTGAGAAGTCCAGCCTAAGATTTGTTAGAGTCATCTTTCTTGTCATTTGAATCCCTAAGTTGAGGTCCTGTTCTTGGAGCAGCAGAAAGCAAGCTCCATGTGACAATCCTTCAGAGGGTTAAATACGATTGTCACTTATTAAAAATATATATAATTCCATCAATTGTTCCTCTGGGCAGTGCACATCTAGGAAAATAATAGTATAACAGTCTTTTCCTTTGGCTTGGCCTCAACAGAAGCACTGAATTCAATTCTGGGATCCTGGCTGAAAACCAGCATTCACAAACTAGAAATTTGCAACAAGGTGGTAAAGCAGCTGGAAACTATTTTTTTCCTCAATAGTTCTTCAATATTTTTTCCATATGCTTCCAAAATCATTTTTCCTTAGGCCTTTTTTTTTACTTTAAATAACATGTTAATTTATCCTTTTTTGCTAATTTTCATATTTCCTTATACCATTCTTCTATCTTAATTTCTACCTCTCCTTTCCAATATTTTGCTATTAACAACCTTATTGCTGTTAACATCACTATCAAATTATTTTCGTTTTCATCTATATCGTATAAAGATAACAATATAGTTGCTGGATTTCTATTTTTTTTTTCCTTCATAATGCTTTCTAGCTGTATTTTAACTTTTGCCCAGAACCTCTGTACATGTTTACATTGCCACCACATGTGATTATATGTTCCCATTTCTTGGCAACCCCTCCAACATTTTTTCGAACAGGTCTTATCCATATTATGTCTATCGAGGTCAAGTACCATTTCCATATTATGTTGTAGTAATTTTCTTTTATTCTGATGGATAAATTCTTGAGTTGTCTTGCTCTCCAAAATCTTTCCCAATTCCTTTCTCCTAGTTTTATTCCCAATTCCTCCTCCCGCAGTTCCTTTGCTTGTCTCTGTTCCCCCTCTCCCAATTTAATCTCGATTACTATTTTATATGTCATACTGGTTATCTTTTTTCTGATACTCATTTTCTTCTTTCATCTGCTCTTTTAATATTATGTTTTCAAATGTCGTTTGCTCTCTTTCCCCCAAGCTCCTTCCCCTCCAACTTCTAATCCATTGCTCCCAATTGTATCCATATACTTAATTCACCTAAAATTTCCTTTATATTATTTCCCCCCTCTATTTGTTCCATCCAGCTTCCAATTTTGTCTAATTAACTCCCACAATTCTTAATAGTCGGTAAGCTGGCTGAGATTCCTGGAAGTTGAAGTCCAAACACCTGGGGGGGCCGATGTTTGCCGATGTAGAGTGAAAAAAGAAACAACAGTGTTTGTATAATTAATACAAGCTTCCCAACTAGTCCCTTCTAATTCCATGAGAACACCTAATTACCAGTAAAGAGATGATCGTATTTGCACAAATCTAAGACACACCTTTTTTGGCTAAATGACCGTGCCAAAATTGGGGTGTGCATTACATTTGTGTAAAATTGTAAAGTTTGGGTGGGTGGGCATTGGATCACAGGAGAGGATTTGAGAACCTGTTTTCCACCCTTTCCTCCTTTCTCCTCCCTTTCTTTTCTTTCCTTCCTTTCCGTCTTTCTGTCTCCCTTTCACCCTTCCCTCTCTCTTACTTTTCTTTCTTCACTTTCTCTCTATCCTCTTGTCATCCATCTCTGACTCATCCTTTTCCTTTCCTATCTTCTTTCCATCCCTCTTTCTGTCTTCCTTTTTTTCTTTCCTTAATGCCATCTTTTCATCTTTACCATAGCTGGTTAATCACCATCTGCAATACATCTTACCAATTGAAAGGTTGAGAGTTCGAAGCCCATGTCAGGATGAGTGCCCGACCTTCAGCCCAGCTCACTGCCCACCTAAGCAGTTAGAAAACAGCAATGAGTAGATAAATTAGGTACCGTTTAAGCGGGGAGGTATTTTACGACACCATAAAAAGGAAATACCAGAAATTCCCGGTGATCAAAAAAAGGAGGAAAGTCTGTGATCATGGGTGCTTTGACACGGAGGATGGAGTGACAGCACCCTCCCGTGGCTGGAATTGAGCACAACCTCCAGGATGCCGAAGAAGGGAATTGCCTATAAATACCTCTCCACTGTCTGTTGTCTGTTTTGTCTATATAACGGCATTGAATGTTTGCCGTGTATATGTGTTCTATGATCCGCCCTGAGTCCCCTTCAGGGTGAGAAAAGCAGAAAATAAATTCTGTAAATAAATAAATAAATATTCCTTTTTTTCTTTCCTCTCTCATCCATTTCTTTTTCCCTCTTCCTTTCTTATTTTTCTTCTGCCTTTCTTCCTTCTTTTCCTTCCATCTTCTCTCCTTCCAATTTTCCCCCGTCTTCCCTTCCTTCCCATCAAGAGCTACCTCTGGTGTTACTTTCCTTGGAAATAAGAGTTGTTGTTGCTCTTTTTTAGAGGCACTGCACACACCTCGGGACTGAGCAAACTATCTTGGAAAATATTTCAATGCTTTTCCTAGTAGGAGGTTATCAAGGGTACTATTATTGCTGGGTATATTTTGTGATGGTGCCTCTGGGTCTGCTTGCTTTCAATGTCATTTCTGTGCAGGAACTAGTCTTGCTGTTTTCCATCCTCCCTCAGGAAGTGGATTGAGGAGCAAAGGCATAAGTCGGGTATCAAGTGTGCCATCAAAATCTCAAGCATACCCAATGTATTTTGAGCTCTATTTTTTTTTACTTATTCTAACAAAGTGGATGAAAATAAGAGCATCTCATCTTCCACATAACCCAAAATATCAAGGCAGAAAATCCCACAATATCTGTTTTGAACTGTGATATTTGAGTCCACACTGCCATATATTCCAATTCAAAGTGGAAAATGCAGGATATTATCCAGTTATGTGGAAGGGGCCTAAGTCTGCTTGTTTCCAAAGTCATTTCTGTGTTTCACAGTGCGCAGGAACCAGTATTGCTATTTTTTTATCCCCAACCAGGACAATGGATTGAGCAGCAAAGACATAAGTTGAATATTAAGTGCGTCATCAAAACCTCAAGTGTACCAAATGAATTTAGGGCTCTATTATTGTTTTACTTATCATTCTGACAAGGTAGATGAAAATTTGCACTTCACTGAGTTCAGTCAGTTGTACTGGGGACTGGCTGGGTCTATCTCCTTACTACTCCACTATATTTGCCCCTCTTTTGTAGTATTCATATGCAAGGCTGAAATGTGGAAACCGGGGAACTCTGAATGAAGCTTCCCCGGCCTTGGCAGAGTGAAGCTTTGGAGAGAAGGTCTTGCAGCAGGGGATGTCTCAAAGGCCGTGGGCAATGAAGATCCTGCTTGTGATGGATATTCTTGTTGTATCTCCCACCCAAGTCTGTGTTTCTCCTCCTTGGGAAAAGGGAGCCCTGGGACTTGACCCCAAGCTGAGACCTTCTTTCTCTGTTGTGTAGATGGATGCTCTGCTCTGCTCCCTGGACTGATGGATTACCTTTAATGTTCAGTGGGGTTGAGGAGCAAGGGTTTGGTAGGGAGAGAATAGTAATGGTAAATCGTTTTCCCTTGGCATTAAGTCCAGTCGTGTCTGACTCTGGGGTGTGGTGCTCATCTCCATTTCTAAGCTGAAGAGCCGGAGTTGTCCACAAACACCTCCAAGGTCATGTGACCATCATAACTGCGTGGAGCGCTGTTTCCTTCCTGCCGGAGCGGTACCTCTTGATCTACTCCAAAGCACTTTACACTTCTTTAAGTCTGCTAGTATGCCTTTCCACAAACACCAGTATCACCTTCCGTTCATGTCCCAGCATTATTTCCAATTTTAACTTAACATTTGGCCTTCCCACTGTTTTTAATTATGTGTTGTTTTATTGATAATGTTGTTCATCTTATTGTCTATGTGTTTTTAATTGCTTCTTTTGTTGTTATTATTGCTTGTATTGTTGTGTTTGGGCTCGGCCTCATGTAAGCCACACCGAGTCCCTTGCAGAGATGGTAGCGGGGTACAAATAAAGTGTTATTATTATTATTATTATTATTATTATTATTATTATTACTCCTCATATTTGCATGTTTTCTTTTTTTAAAAAAATGATTTTTATTGAAATATTTGAAAATTACAACGAAAGAGGGGGAATATTTAAAAGAAGATAGAACAGTAGGAAAAGATAAAGAACACCACCCCTCCCCAAGATTCAAAAAGAAGAAAAAAAGAAAAAAAAGAAAAAAATATAAAAGGTAAAAAATAAAAATTAAAAAGTAAAAATTAAAAAAAGATTTGACTTCCATCTCCTCATCAGGTGTTGTATCTCCAACAATGTTTCCGTTGCTTCTACATTAAAATGTTCCACTTATTTACTCCTTTCTTTCTCATAGTTATCATAGAGCAGTGTTTCTCAACCTTCCTATTGCCACGACCCCTTAATAGAGTTCCTGATGTTGTGGTGACCCCCAACTATAAAATCATTTTCATTGCTACTTCATAACTGTCATTTTGCTACTGATATCAATTGTAATGTAAATATCTGATGTATTTTCATTTACTGGACCAAATTTGGCACAAATACTCAGTACACCCAAGTTTGAATACTGGTGGGGTTGTGGGGGATTGATTTTATCATTTGGGAGTTGTAGTTGCTGGGATTTATAGTTCACCTACAACCAAAGAGCCTTCTGAACTCCACCAATGATAGAATTGAACCAAACTTGGCACACAGAACTCCCATGACCAACAGAAAATGCTGGAGGTTTTGGTGGGCATTGACCTTGAGTTTTGGAGTTGTGGCTCACCTCCATTCAGAGAGCACCGTGGACTCAAACAATGATGGATCTGGACCACACTTGATACTTAATATGCCCAAATGTGGATACTGGTGGAGTTTGGAGAAGATAAACATTGACACTTGTGAGTTGTAGTTACTGGGATGTATAGTTCACCTACAATCGAAGAGCATTCTGAACCCCACCAATGACAGAATTGGGCCAAACTTCCCACACAGAACCCCATGACCAACAGAAAATGCTGTGTTTTCTGATTGTCTTTGGCGACCCCTCTGACACCCCCTCGCGACCCCTCCAGGGGTCCCGACCCCCAGGTTGAGAAACACTGTCATAGAGGGTCCAAACTGTCCTCTTCCTTTCTTTGGCAAAATTTTGGAAACAGGATAGTACATCCCGAATAGACTACTGCAATGCACTCTACGTGGGGTTGCCCTTGAAGACTGTTTGGAAACTTCAACTAGTCCAGCGAGCGGCAGCCAGATTGCTCACCGGAGCGACATACAGGGAGCATACCACCCCCCTGCTGTGCCAGCTCCACTGGCTGCCGATTCAGTTCCGAGCACAATTCAAGGTGCTGGTTTTGACCTACAAAACCCTGTACGGTTCCGGTCCAGTGTATCTGTCCGAACGTATCTCCCTCTACATCCCACCTCGGAGTCTGAGATCATCTGGGGAGGCCCTGCTATCGACCCCACCACTGTCACAAGTGAGGCTGGTGGGGACGAGCAGGGCTTTCTCAGTGGTGGCCCCTCACCTGTGGAACTCACTCCCAGGGGAAATCAGAGCATTATCATCCCTCCTCGCCTTTAGGAGAAGGGTGAAGACTTGGTTATGGGACCAGGCTTTTGGGCACTCCGGCAACTAAATCAGACAACCAGGCGAGCAAGACCAGCAGGATTGATGAAGTGGAACATAAAACTAGATCTATGAGTAGCGAACGCTGACCATGTAAGAGGAGAAACTGGGTTTGTATTTGGTTTTATTGATTTTATGGTTATAATGTATATTTGGTGTTAACTGTGTAATGATGTAATTTTGTGTTTGATTGTTTTTATGATGCAGGCATCAAATTGTGCCTTGCTTTTGTAAGCCGCCCTGAGTCTCCTTCGGGGTGAGAAGGGCGGGGTAAAAGAAGCCCAAATAAATAATAAATAATAGTATCCCTACCATTGAAAAATGGTTAGGGAAAGTTAGAGAAATAAGAGAAATGGATGAACTAACTTTTTTCTTGAAAACGAATACCGGGAATCCGATAAAGAGGACAGATATTCGCATGTTTTCAAACTGCTAGGTTGGCAGAAGCTGGGGCTAACACTGGGGGCTCACCCCGCTTCCGGGATTCAAATCTGTGACTTTTCGGTCAGCAAGTTCAGCAGCTCAGCGGTTTAACCTACTGCGCCACCGCGGGCTCTGGGAGAGAATATATTTAGCGAACTATCCTATGAATACAGAATTTTTCTTCCATGGCTATATCTATGCCATTGTCTTTAGTCCTTTGGTTGCAGGGCTTTGGAGAGATGCTCTTTCCCCCTCCTTCTAGTGGAATGCTGGGCAAGGAAGGGTTAAGGGGAGGGAGTGTGGTTCCTAGAGAGGCAGGAAGGAAGTGGGGCCTCCTTAGATCCACCTTTCCTGTCCCTCTAGGAACCAAACTCCTTCCCCTTCACCCTTCCTTGCCTGGCTGGGAGAGAAAAGAAGAGTTGGACCCTTTGGCCTCTTCCTCCTCCTTCTCTTCCTCTTCTCCTTCTGGTGAGTCTTCTCCCCATTCCTTCTCCAAAGGGCCAAAGAGGGGCTGAAGCCCAACACACCTGGAGGGAGGGACAAAGTGGGCCCAGGCCTGGACTAACGTAGGATTGGGGAAAATCACAATAGACTGCGAGGTTGTCACTTCTCCAACCAGGGGATCCTTGGGAGGAGGGAGAGGCAGGCAGAGAGAGAGAGGCCCAGGGCTTTCCCCTCCCAACCCACTCACCTGAATTTCTGGCTCCTCTTTCCTCCCTATAAGTTTTTAAATGATTCAGAGTTTCTGTTTGTCATCTGGATTTCCAAATATTATACTTTAGTTGTTATATTGATTCAAAGTCTCTTGGTTCTTCCTTACAAGAAAGGCTATGGATCATGTGGTGTCGGTGGCACAGATCCTGGGGAGATTCAAAGTGGGTTGGGACTGAATGGGAGCTCAATGGGAGGCCAGGAGGGTCTGGAGGCCGGAGAAGCAGAGGCCCCAGTGGAAGGAGGGCCCAGCATTGGTTTATCCAGAAATAAATAAACGGCTCAGTTTTTTTAAATTAAATTTTATTATTACAATAGTAAAAAGAGAAACAAAACAAACACGAGAAGCATAACAATAACATAAACACAATATACACAAACATACATAACAATAGACATACATCGACACATCCAAAACCTAACTAGACTAACATTGACATAACTAACACAGCACACTGACTACGGATAGATTCGCTGTGAGTCGCCTTCGGGCTTGAGATACAGCGGTATATAAGCAAAGTAAATAAATAAATAAATAAAAAGAGGGTGCCCGCTACGGCAGCAGACCTCCATCTCTCTCCTACGTTCAGCAGTGGAACTCTCTGCCCCGGAGTGTGGTGGAGGCTCCTTCTTTGGAAGCTTTTAAGCAGAGGCTGGATGGCCATCTGTCAGGGGTGATTTGAATGCAATATTCCTGCTTCTTGGCAGGGGGTTGGACTGGATGGCCCATGAGGTCTCTTCCAACTCTTTGATTCTATGATTCTATGATTTCAGTGTCTATTACCGCTCTTCTATACTTACATACCTTTTAATTTCTTTCTTCTTCCTATAATGCCCTATCTTTCCAGTCTACTGTTTCATCTTTAACAATATATAAATATTTATTCATTTACAAAAAGTAATCCTTGTATTCGTAATTGTCTATACATCATATGTTCTTATTCCTCGACTCTCTTGAGCAATCTTCTTCTTTTGTTTCTACCCGTTCTCCAGTTTACTTATGCTGCTCCTGTCAATAATCCTAAGCCATCCTGTATTCCTTGACCTCCCCCCTGGGTGTTGTTCCCTAATTTCTTGTGATAGAGTATTAAGCTATCATCCACTTTATTTTCTTTTCCCTAAGCCATCCAATTTGTTGGAAGTATAGGTACGTTTCTCGAGGCTGACAGGATATATGTGAAGTGGTCCGCATTCATCACATCTATTATTTTCTCTGTCCACTCTTCCTCCGATGGTAATGTCTTTTGTTTCCAAGCCTTGGCCAATAACAAGCGTGCCGCCGAATAAATGGCTCAGTTTTTAATCTCGAACTAAAAAGCCTGTCAAATTCTGATACTCATTTTCTTCTTTCATCTGCTCTTCTAATATTATGTTTTCAAATGTCATTTGTCTAATTCTGCCTTTCTTAAACAGAGAAAATGTGATTGTTCGCTGAGAATTCTGGACTAGAGCCTGTTCAGGGATTTCTTTCCCTTCAGAGAAGAAGGAGGAAAGAGATTTTGTACCCAGTTTGCTTCCTCATCAAAGAGTGGTTCCAGCATGGAGAGACCCAGCTCACCTGGACCTGAAGCAGGACTCGGGAGCAGTGCGGCATCCTGGGAAAAAGCTACACCTAAGTTCCTGAGTGTGGACCTTTATAGCTCAGACACACAACCTCAGCGCTTCAGGCATTCCTCCTTCCGAGAGGGCGAGGGACCCAGAGAGGTTTGCAGCCGCCTCCACTCTCTCTGCCGCCAGTGGCTGAAGCCAGAGCAACACACCAAGGCGGAGATGCTGGACCTGGTGATCCTGGAGCAGTTCCTGAGCATCCTGCCCCCAGAGATGGGGAGCTGGGTCCGAGAGTGTGGGGCAGAGACCTCTTCCCAGGCGGTGGCCCTGGCGGAAGGCTTCCTCCTGAGTCGGGCAGAGGACGAGAAGCAGGAAGGACAGGTGAGAGCATTGCCTTTTAGTTTCACTCACCTTGGGACCAGGCATGTAGCCGGGTGGAGGGGCTTGAGGGGCTTGAGCCCCCCCCCCCCCCCCCGAAATTTTCATGGTGGTCCGTGAGAAGGCCTTACTGGTGCATTATTTAAACTGTTATGTTTATTCATATCATGATCTGATCACCATGCTCAATATATCCCATATGCATGGGGGTATTGGGGGTAACAATACAAAAGGTTTGCTAGGGTAGACCCTCTTTCACTCAGACTCAGCCCCCCCCCCCAAACAAACTCAGCCCCCCCCCCCCGGACAAAATCCTGGCTACGGGCCTGATTGGGGCAAAAAAGATTAAACATACATCCTGCCTTCCTTCCAAGATGGGACCTGTGACAGGGATAAGTCAGATCCTGCTCCCTCGGCCTCTTTCCGCCCCTGCTCTGCCCCTCCTGCTCTCACCTCTATATCCAGCATACGCTCAGTTGCTGCTCTACTCCAATTTGTTAGCCCCAGATATCACATTGAAAATGATGGGAAGGGTAATATGGCCAAAGTCAGAATGCATATTTGTTTACATTGGGGGAAAAAGCCCTTTTCTGATCTTTTTCTATACTATTTCTGGTATACTTCCAGATATCACATTAAAAATGGTGGGAGGGGGGAGCGTGGCATTTGTTTCAAACTCAGAGTTATTCCTATAGAAAAGTCCGTGCAGTTTCTGCACATAGGTCTGTGATTTTTTTTTGAAGTTTTCCATACTACTTCTGGTATACCCCGTGCTCTTCTAGGCCCAAAATGACTGCATTGAAGCCCAGTCTAATGTCCCTGCATCAGAGAAACCTCCATCAGACACCACCCAGACTCTCAGGCTGAAGGAACTCAAGCAGGAAGGAGATGAGGCTGCAGCCTTGGAGGGTAAGAAGGAACCCTTCTGGTAGTTTTGGGGTTTTTATGCCAGTGAACATTCCCCTTTGGGATGATTGTAGATTAGAACATCCATATTACATTTGAGATTAAGACCATGCTCATTCAGAACAATTTGGCCTTGAGATGAATATATAGGTAGCATTTGGTTGTAAAAGGTGTAATTTCAGTGTGACTTGCAGTTATACTTTATAGTTATATTTCTACATTTTCATTTTGTTGGGTGGGATTGAAATATCAGCCGTATGGTTTATCCCCAGGTGAAACCCAAATCTTAGATGAGGCCTGAAACTTTAGTCAATTGAAATACCAAGCCCAGTAATAGTTTCAATCAAACCTACTCACAGGACTGGTTGAGATAAAATGGCCTAAACTCTAAAACTTTACGTATTCCTGGACTGGTGAATGTTCCTGTGTTCATAGGGTCATTTCCTCATAGGTTTCTTTTCAGGACTGTAGTTGTCACCTCTGAAAAATGTTTATGTGTTCAGCTTTCCACCCCTTGCTCTCTCTCCCAGAGGCTGGAATGATGTTGTTGCCGAATCCACAGTGGTTTCTCCCCCTTTGTGATGGAGTAGAACTGAATCAGGTAAGCAGAAGGATTCCTGGGAGAGGAGGACGGGAGATGCCTGGGGGTCATTTCTTCCAGGCTTAATCGTCAAATATCTCTTGAAACAGAAAAGATTGAACCAACAGAAATGCAAATCATTTTGAAGAGATTCTTGTAATTCTTTTTCTTGATTTCCCTTATGTCAGAAGGAACTGTGTTCTTTTTCCACCAGGTCCCAATCGCCTTTGAGGACGTGGCTGTCCATTTCTCTTGGGAGGAGTGGGCTCTCCTGAGTTCTGATCAGAAAGCCTTGCACGGGCAGGTCATGGAGGAGATTTATGGGATGGTGGACTCTCTTGGTAAGGCTACCTCACGGATGGGAATTTCTATTTCAAAATGCAGGATCCCGGTCAGCGGCTACCTAGAAGGAGCATTATCTTAAATCTTCACAGTCTCTGAGAGTTCTCAAGCAGGGTTTTGTTAGAAATATAAGACATAAGTGTAACATTGACTTGGTGCCAGAGTAACAGTGATGTTGGCACCAACTACAGTAGGAAGACTTCCATAACTGGAGCCAAGTCTAAGCATACCATACTCCCTCACAGCAATCACCCCAGATCTATCACACTCTGTGTGTGTTTGTGTGAGAGAGGGAGAAGGAGGAAGCAGATTGGCTGGAGAGAGCGCCGGAGAATGGATCATTAAAAAGAACAAACTTCCCATGGCTTCAGGTACACAGACGTGGCCACATCTTATTATCGATGTGGTATTCAACCTTGTTTGTCCTCCCAGCCAGGCAGGCTAGCCTTTGCATGTCTGAAGCCAAGCTCTCTTTCTACGCTGCCTCTCCCAGCACACAAACAGCCCCTGGCCTCAATCATTCGCAAGATGGTGACCTGCAGCATAATGTGTTCTATGTTCTGTGCTTGTGAATGATTTTTTGTGCACTGGGAGAGGCATATAAGCAGCAATCAAACTCTATGCCCCTCTTATTCAAGTGGTGAGAGTGTCATTTATGGTAGGTTCACAACTGCAGAAATGTAGCTGTTTCAAATAGAGTGCATATTTTGAAACACTCTGTATATTTATTCCACCCTAAAGGTTAGTAAATAGCTGATATATCCACTGCCACTTCCCTAAATTCTCATATGTGAAGAAGTTGCAGCTCCCCTGTAAAAGTCGTGTTCCCTTCTCTGCCTTCATTATTGTTCTCCCCTTTTTCTTAAGAGTCACTATATTGTATCTTTCCAGCTTTGTCAGGCAAAACCGTAACAATTTCTGCAGCACTCGAAAATTAGATATGGGCCCTTCTACATTGGAGCAGAATAATCCAACAACCTTTAGTGAACCTGGGAAGAGAGAACTGTAGGTTGGGGGAGAGAAATAAAAGGGAGGGAAGGATTGTGAAATGAGTGATAGCAAGGTAAAGTTTTCACTAGAGAAAAAGGGAAGCATTTGAAAGTGAAGGGAAAAGGTATCTATTCCCCCAGAAAAAAAGGAGACAGAATGAAAAGCCAGGCTGGTCTGAGGAAAACGTAACCTCTGGAGCATATGTTATTCACTCTTCCCTTAGAGGCTCCAGGCAGTCAAACAGTATTTATCTTTACTGCACAAGGGGTGGGGAGAGGACAGCAATTATATCTCCTTTTCCTCCATATCTATGTTATTTTAAGGATAATTTCAACCTCCTTCTTATAGCATTTCCCTAGAATCCTTATCACTCACCCTGAAGAATGATTGTTTCTGTCCTTCTTCACAGCGAATAACAGGAACACCAAACACAGGAAATCTTTTATCCAGAGTTTACACTTGGTGAGCCACAAAAGACTCAGCAGAGAAGAGAAACCATACCAATGCCAGGAGTGTGGGAAATGTTTTTCTTACAGTTCACAATTGGTGAGCCACAAAAGAGTCCACACAGGAGAGAAGCCATACCAATGCCAGGAGTGTGGGAAATGTTTTGCTCGCAGTTCAAACTTGATAAGCCACAAAAGACTCCACACTGGAGAGAAGCCATACCAATGCCAGGAGTGTGGGAAATTTTTTGCTCGCAGTTCACACTTGGTGAGGCACAAAAGACTCCACACAGAAGAGAAGCTGTACATATGTCAGGAGTGTGGACAATGTTTTGCTCAGAATTCATCTCTTATAAGCCACCAGAGAACACATACAGGAGAAAGACCATACAGATGCCCAGATTGTGGGAAATGTTTTTCCTGCAGTTCAAACTTGGTGAGGCACAAAAGACTTCATACAGGGGAGAAGCCATATCAATGCCAGGAGTGTGGGAAATGTTTTGCTCGCAGTTCACACTTGGTGAGGCACAAAAGACTCCACACAGAAGAGGAACTGTACATATGCCAGGAGTGTGGACAATGTTTTGCTCAGAATTCATTTCTTGGAAACCAGAGAACACGTACAGGAGAAAAACCATACAGATACCCAGATTGTGGGACTTGTTTTTCCTGCAGTGAGGCACAAAAGACTTCGCACAGGGATGAAGCCATACAAATACCAGGAGTGTGGAAAATGTTTTGCCCATAGTACAGCCCTTGTGAGCCATGAGAGAGTTCACACAGGAGAAAAACCATTCAGATGCATGGATTGTGGGAAGTGTTTTGCTCACAGTTCAACCCTTAGGAAGCACCAGGGAATTCACACAGGTTAAAAAACATATAAATACCAGGCATGTGGGAAATGTTTTTATCAGGATTCATACTTTTCGATCCATCAGAGACAACATACAGGAGAGAAATCATCCAAACAGCTGGGACAAAGCTAGTAAAATGTGTTGCAACGGGAAAATGGCGGACCTTCTGTTTTGTTCGCAGTTCAAACTTGATAAGCCACAAAAGACTCCACATAGGAGAGAAGCCTTACCAATGTTTCTGGACTTTCTGGTGCTGTAGACTAAACATTCTGCACTTCCCGATGAACCCGTGTGACTCCCTCGGCTTCAAGTAGCACTTGGCTGGACTTTAGACTGATTTCTTAGACAACTCTCCTTGGCTTTGAACTCTTGTTCGGATTTTTTGTTTTGCTTTATTTGACTTGGGACTGTTTTGGAAAACTCTTTTGCTCCTCTGGACACTGGTGTCATCGTGAGACTAGAATGGCTTTCCCGTGATCAGCCATCTGATTTCAAACTGAGGTTTTGCCTAAGATTTGGTGGAGTCCCATCCTTGTCATTTGAATCCCTAAGTTGAGGTCCTATTCTTGGAGTAGCAGAAAGCAAGCTCCCTGTGACGATCCTTCAGAGGGTTAAATACGATTGTCATGTCACTTGTTTTAAAAAAACAACATATATAATTCCATCAATTCTTCCTCTGGGCTTAGTTTCCAGCTCCTTTACCACCTTGGTTGCAAATTTCCAGTTTATGAATCCTGTTTTTCAGCCAGGATTCCAGAACTGAAGACAGTGCTCCTGTTGAGGCCAAGCCAGAGGAAATTTATTTATTTATTTATTTATTTGCCATATTTGTATACTGCCTTTCTCAGCCCAGAGGCGACTCAAGGCAGTTCACAATTAGCAACA